TCTTTACATTAACATATATTATTTCAATAGTGTAAGATATGAATTGTCATTATTCTTCAGTCTTTTCTGGAACTTGTTCAGCCCTGGGAAAATCACCTTCATACTTCTTCTTGAGATTAATTAAATATGTTCGTAAACTGTCTGGATCCAACTGAGAATTTCTGGCAGTCTGAACAAGCCTCGTGGCTAGATGGTACACAGCTCTCTGTCCTTCCATCTCAGGAGGGGTACTCCTTTGGGTTTGCTGTTATTGAAAATATATATACATATAAATCAAAATATGTATGCTTTAATTTTGATTTAAGCCATACTTTATGTTCTACCTCCTTCCATAGAAATATGGAATTCAAGAGTTAACTAATTCCTTAGGATAAGTGAACTCCATTTCAAACAACATGATGTCAAAGAGTAATAGAAAAGCCACCAGAAACAGGTTCTACAAACACTTTCTCATTTAAAGGTATGAAAAACAGTATTGCTTATTAACATGCAGTAATCATACGTTCAAATGTTGCCCACGAGCACTACTCCGCTTTCTCCTACTTTAATTCCCCAATAGAAAAACTGGAGGACAGAATGTGTCATCAGAAAACTGGTTACCCGGCTGGATGCGGCAGCCTACGCCTGTAATCTAGGAGGCCAAGGCTGGTGTATCACCTGAGCTCACAAGTTCAAGACCAGTCTGAGCCAGAGCGAGACCTCATCTCTAAAAACAGCTGGGCCTTGTGGTGGGCACCTATAGTGCCAGCTACTTGGGAGGCAGAGGCAAGAGAATCTCTTGAGCCCAAGAGTTTGAGGTTGCTGTGAACTATGACATAACAGCACTCTACCAAGGGCGAAAAAGTAAGACTCTGTCTCAAAACAAACAAACAAACAAACAAAAAACTGGTTGCCCCTAAAAAGAGTATGTATGTCCATGTAAATTTCTGAAGCCTAAGAGAAAATGTGGCCTGATGAGTAAATTACATTTTAAAAACAAACAACATAAACAGCTATTTGAAATTATGCCTTAATTTGTAATAAACTATACTTAGTGATACAAAAAATAATATTTAACTGAGAATGACAATATGAAATTGATGGTGCCAGGAAGCTTAGGTAATGACATGCAGAAGAATGACAGTGAACGCCTATCTCCCTATCTCCTACAATATATTAAAGTTAACTTGCAATGGATTAGTGACTTAAATGTTAAGACCTGACATCCTAAAAATATTAGAAGGAATCCTAGGAAAAACTATCTTTGATATTGGCCTAGGTAAAAAAAATAGGACCCCCAAAAGCAAACACCACAAAAATAAAAATAAATAAATGACCTTCAATTACACTAAAAAGCTTCTGCATAGGAAAAGATGCAATCAACAGAGTAAATACTTGCAAGCCATACATTTGATAAATGCCTAACATCCAGAATCTATGAGGAAGTCAAATCAGCAAGAGAAAAAGAAAATAACCCTACTAAAAAGGGGGTAGAAGACAGAAATTTTTCAAAAGAAGACATATAAATAGCCAATGAACATATGAAAACAATGCTCCATCATCAGGAAAATGCTAATTAAAACCATGAGAAACCACTTCATTCCTGTCAGAATGGCCACTGTCAAAAAGTAAAAATAATAAAACAAAAAAACCCAAAAAAACCCAGACACTGGTCTGGATGCAGTGAAATGGGAATGCCTGTACACTGTGGGGAGGTAAATTAGTGCGACTTCTACTGGAAACAATACAGAGATTCCTGAAGGAACTAAAAGTAGATCTACCATTTGATCCATCAATTCTACTACTGGGAATCTGCCCAAAGGAAAAGAAACTACCTAAAAGAAAAGACCCTTGCAACGATATGTTTATCACAGCACAATTCACAACTGTAATGATATAATGACTGCGCCTGACCTCAAACCAAAAATGTTTTATGAAGTAAAAAGGATCTTCTCATAAAGGTCCATAAAGAAACTATGTTCTTTATTTTAAATATTTTAATCATTAATATCAATTACTATAGATATGGGTAGGTCAAAAGCCATAATGAAAATGTACATTAAAATTGTGTGTTTTAATTTTAAAAACAAACTTTAAAAATTTTTTTTCTGAAGGGGTGTGGTGGCTCACGCCTGTGATCCTACTACTCTGGGAGGCCGAGGTGGGAGGATTGCTTGAGCTCAGAAGTTCAAGACCAGCCTGAGAGCTGGGCTCCGTGGCTCATGCCTGTAATCCCAGCATTCTGGGAGGCCAAGGTGGGTAGATTGCTTGAGCTCAGGAGTTCAAGATCAGGCTGAGCAAGAGAAGACCCCATCTCTATTAAAAAAATAAATAAATAAATAGAAAAACCAGCTGTGCATGCATTGTGGCAGGCATCTGTAGTTCCTGCTATGCAGAAGGCTGAAGTGAGAAGATCCCCTGAACCTAGGAGTATGAAGGTTCTGTGAGCTATGATGACGCCATGGCACTCTATCAAGGGCGCAGATTGAGACTCTGTCTCAAAAATAAATAAATAAATTTTAAAAAATCAGTTTTTTCTATATATATTTTTTCCTTATCCGATTGTAACTCAGAACAAATAATTCTTGCTGCTAAAAAGTTTCTTACTAGAATTTTTCCTGTAATTTGAGTTGTGATTTCTCTAGCATCCAAAATAATTGATGATGGAAGTGATGACGCCTCTGCAGCTTTTAATCCTAAAATTACAATAATAAAATGGGATTCAGTATTATTATTGCTGGTATTTTTATGTTTGTTTGAACTAGTATTTTTTTCCTCAGAGAGAAGCTTCCTTCTATAGGCAAATAGAACTCAATTCTCAAATTAAGTTTTTCAAAGTTCCAGATGACAACTTACCAATTATTAGTTTTAATTAATTGTCTAAAATATGTAAGGCAAATTAGAATATCAATTACCTTTCAACATACATCTGAGACAGCAGAAAGAAAAATAAGTAATTAGAAAATAATAGCATTGAAATTCTAATTACAAATATAGTTAGTTTTAGGTCAAAGGACACAAGGGTTTTTCAGAGGAGGAGGACATCTGAACACAGAGGCACTCCTCCGCTGAACACCCATCTCCTAGCATGTTAATGAGACAAGTTTCTCAGAAGATGTAATGGCAGGTGAATACTCTTTATGCAAATTCAAATAACTAAATATTATTCTCATGTTTCCAGGGCTTAATTTTATTATATCAATGCCATATAGGCTTTCTCCTGTGTGCCAAGAGTTTACTGTATTTACTGCTTTAGAAGCAATACCAACATTTATTGATAAGTTATTATTGATAATTGCTAGGTACTCTGGCAGGAAGTTCACCTTTGACAATTTATTGAATCTTCACAACTCTACATATACGAAAAGCTATCCCCATTCCATAGATAATGAAATTGATTAAACATCTGATACAAATGAATTATCCACATGACTTCCCTTTTCAAATAGCAAGCACAGATACTTGCTGTGCTTTTTTTCCCTGGAAAGGTCATATCCATAACTAAAATAATTTTTGGACTTACATATACAGATCAATTAAAAATTCTCTGAATCTATAAGATTTGCTGATTTAAACAGAATACATCTAATCAAGTTTAGGAACATCACATGGTTTGGTAATACATTGTCTTGGCAGGTTTTAGATTTCATTATCAAACACACTGAAGCTGAAGAAGAGGAAGAAAGAACTCCACTACTGAAAGAGTGTGCAGGGAAATATACAACTTTTGCTGTAAAATCAATATGCGAACATAAACTAAATGACATTTTTCTAAGATAGAAACTAAGATTTCTAAGGTGACGGTATTTGGAGATAGGGACTTTAAAAAAAGCAAATAAGGTCAAATGAGATCATTAGGATAGACTCTAATGCAATATAAGTAGTGTCCTCTACTACAAGATACTAAAAATGAGACAAGTTTCCTGTGTCATTTTATTTCTACACAGCTATTGGTTCCTATAAGTTTAAAAGAATATATATACCTATATATGTAATATGAGTTTAAGATAGAAAATGAAGTTTAAGAGAATATAAGCCCTCAAAAGATTGAGGGAATGTTTAGATAGCCACGGAAAGGAGAAATGAAAGTTTATCTGAGTAGACGATGCCGTGTTTCAATGTGTGGGTATAATTTCTACACACAATACCATAATTTTTTTCTTCTGTGAGTCCCTTTGAAAGTTTATAGGTATACAAAATTGCTTCTTTATTTCTTGAAGTGTTCTTTACATGCTGAACTTCAAAATGCATGTTTTCCACATTAAGATACAGGACATCTAACTGGCACAGTTCCAGAAAATGTGTAGCAAACAGTGTAAATGCCTGGAATACATAACAGACAATGAATGTTAGTACTTTTTAAATTAACTAGAAATTCTATTTTAACTATATAAAATAGTTTTATATTTATAAAATTCTATTTTAACTATGTAAACATACAATTAATTTAATTTTCCAAGTAGCTTGGCAGAGATTTTAAGAATGAAATTAATAACCTGGAGCCTAACATGATCAATCCCTTTTTAAGTGTTTTGAAGATTTATATCTTTATATTCAATGATGGAAGTATGTATATTATATTTGCACATACAAATATATGTTACGATATGGGAAAGAGAATAAAGCCAAAAATAAAATCATAAGAATTCAATTAGCAAATTGTTCAGGGCCTGTATGTTTCAAGGATTGTGCTAGGCACTAAGGGTACTAGTTTAGAAAAATAATAAATAACTTTAAGCTCCTTAGAAGTAGCAACATCATATTTTTGCTACATTATTTATACTAGAAAAGGATATACAAAACTAACACTAAAACTACTATTCTTACCTATAGAGGAATGCTTTAAAGACAAATATATTAGTCAGGGTATTCTTTGGGCTACATTGTAAGAAGAGTTGTCTTGGGCCACATATTAAACACACAAAAAACAGACCAAAAGGATGTGTGTGTGTCTAAAGAGACCACTGTAAAAAATTGGCTCTTGCAACTATGGAGGATGATGAGATCCAAGATCTACAGGCAGCAAGCTTGAGACCCAGGAGAGCCAATGGCCTGGATTTTGGTCTAAATACAGTCTCTAAACACAGAAAAAGCCAATGCTTCAGTTTGAGTCCAAATGCAGAAAAGAACCAATCTTCCAGATAGAAAGCGGTCAGGCAGGAGGAGTTCCTCTTACTCTTGGGAAGGTCAGCCCTTTTTTCTATAAAGGCTTTCGATTTATTGAGTGAGACCTACTCACACCAGGGAGGGCAACCTGCTATACTCAGCCTACCAATTCCACTGTTGATCTCTTCCAGAAACACCCTCACAGACACACTTGAATAATGTTTGAAAAATTAAACATCATGTATCTACCCCTTGTCAATAGGGCACCTATTCACATCTCCTTACACCACCCTTAATTTCTAAATGGAAACAAGGTTGTGACCCCGCCTACTATGATAAAACAACAAAGGAAGCACTAACGCCTTCCCCAGAAGAGGAGGTGAAGTCCTTGAGTGATGTTTATTCCTCACCTCAATATCTTACAACTTAAACATTATGATATAAACTTAGCAATATGTAAATAACATGACATCTAGTTACTACTTCTTATGTTACATGATAAGGGAATAGAGAGAAAAATAAAGATATTTGCTTAATACTCACAAACTTATTCATACAAAATAAGGAAGAAATAATCATGATAATTACAGTCCTCATTTTTGTAACATAGTGACAGTGGCTAATTATAATCACCTTCTACTACCTATCCCGTATTCTTTTTGCCTTTGGCAACCCCTTAGCTAGCCAGGGTTCTTCACCCAGTAAGGTGATCAAAAACTTCATTCCTGAAGGGTCTTGGCCATTCACAGTCCTGCCAGGACTGGGTTGTTATAGTTTTCCATTGACCTTAACCACAGGATGTAACAACACAGATACCCAAAGGCAGAAGTGTCCAACTTTTTGGCTTCTTTGGGCTACATTGTAAGAAGAGTTGTCTTGGGCCACATATTAAACACACAAACATTAACAAAAGCTGATGAGCAGCAAAAAAGGTCTGTGTATAATTTTCAGATCCCACCACCATAGATATGCTATAAAGTTCCCATGTAACTTCCAATTTATGCAGCAGCCTGTTCAGGGAGTCTTTTAAAATCATTGGGCAGACCTCAAGTTTGCAATCATTAATATAGAAAATGTATAATTTCTAAGTATTAAACATCTTTTTATATGTTTTATTATAAAAGTAAAGTGGGCAACATAAAACTAGGGGGATATTTGACATTGCATTTGAGAAACTAATGCACCAATACCTGGTTCTATGAAAGTAGTTGGAATTCTCAGTGAGTTCTCAAGGTGCTCATCAGATATGTGTATTTTGGTTCTAATCTTACTCTGAATGTGCTTCAGTATTGAAAATAGTTACTCACAAATGTAGGTGCTGCCACAAAGCAATTGCATGACCAAGGCATAACTGTGAAGCCAGGGATGTTTATATTTGCATCTGGTAAGACAGGACCTATGACGTCCAGTCAAGAGACAAGATGCAATTTCCCTTGAGGCTGGATGTCAGATTGCAGCTCTATGGATTCCATTGGAAAGCCGGCAGGTTACATGTTTATGTCAACAAAATGGAGTCATAAATGCACCAAAATATTTATTTCTCTGGAAATCTTGTAATTTTTTGAATTCTTTTATCAAATTGAAAAGTAAGGCTGCATATTTTTCACTCTTTACAGGACTGTGTTTAGCCAATGTGTTGAAATGCATAAAATTGTTTGCCATAATTTCAGTTTCATTTGGAATGCTGTTATGGTTTGAAACATTATATTGAGAAGTCAGTTTTCACCTTGAAGACTTATGTTTAACTCACTTGAATGAATGGTTAAATAGGCTAAAAAGGCTAAACCTGTAAGCTAGTTTTCATCATCAAGTTCTGGCACAAATTTGGTTTTTGACACCATAAGTGACTTGATAACATGTTGCAAATCATAAAATCTTCTCAACATCTCACCTTGACTTAGTCACCTTACTTCCAAAAAAGTAAATGATTTTATCATAGTCAGCATCAATACTTCTAAGGAATTCCTGGAATTGGCAATGATTCAATCCCTTGGCCCTTATGAAATTCAGTCTTGATTATGATTTGCATGACATTATCCATTTTTAAAAGTTTTGTGCATAAATTTTCTTAATGTATTATGCAATGATACTTTAACAAATGTTGAGTTTTGGGTGGCAATGGCGTCTTCTTCCATTAATTTTACAAGTCCTTCTCCTTAACCTACCATTGCCAGGGCACCATCAGGAATTATACCAGATATGTTGACAATGGATAAAGAACATTGCTTTAACATATTTTTTACTGCTTCATATAAATCTCTTGATTTAGTTGTTTATTTTAATGGCACTCAAGAAGCCATTTCTTCAGTGACATTATATTCATCATCAATACCTCTACTATAAATGGCAAGTTGAGCCATATTTGAAGCATCGGTGCTGTCATCCATCACCAAAGCATAAAATTTAACATTAGCAGCTTTATTCTCCAAACTTCTTTTGATAGATTTTCCAATTTCTTCACTTGGCCTGGCTATAGTCTGGGGGGACAAACTGAATTTAGAAACCTGTTTTTGTTTTTTTCAAGGCAAATTATATCTGTCATGCTTTCCAAACATTGCTTAATAAACTTCCCATAAGTAAATGGTTTTGTTTTTTGCTATTAAATATACTACCACATAACTAGTTGTTATTTTATTTCAATTTTTATTTATTTCTTCTTTTTTTT